TTTTCAGCGAAGTGCGAAGCAACATTGTCGAATAAAACCTTAAAAGAGTCTACCCCGTACATTTGTGCGGTCCCCTTAGTCCTCCAGCTGGCGGCGCTTTTTTCACCGCCTCAGTTATTGCTGACTTCTCTATACATACAATCACTATACATACAATCACATTGAACCACTGCTTTCTTTTGCATTTTTGGCCTCTTTCAACTGACGTTTCCCCACAGTCAGGAGGAAAAACCTCAGATGAATATGTCTAACCTTTATTTTAAAATGCGTCATGCTTGAATATCAAATAAGACCACATTAAATCTAACAAATTGGCTGATTGGTAATTAAATGGCTTATATTTTGGTATTAGTAAATTGGAGAATAATCAAAGTGCTCTGTGAGCAAACTCGTGAATTGACAGATGACTTACATGATTTTTTGGATTATGTCTAATGTTATCAGGTTCAGGGAATTTTGTGGTTGATTGTCATATTTAGAGTACGAGCAGTAGTTCAGTGTTTGCTAATGTAGCGAAGAAACAAAGTAACGTTGGGATAAGAAAGCATTACAATTGAAATGATCATGCTATTACATTTGACATGGGTGGATGATTTCATGTGTTTTTTAAACATATATCATTTTTGTTTCTGGTTCAAAAGAAAAGGGTGAACGTAAATGTGGGTGAAAAGTGAAATTTACTGTCTATCATTGTAAATAATGGAAAATCAAGGCAATACTGTCTTAATGAAAACATTAATGATTCCCTCTTTATCAAATTAGATAAACAGGAACGAGTTTTGAGTGATATAACTAAGTCCAGACTGCCACCGTCATTTTGGATTTCCGCCCGGTTAGATTTTGGTCACGTGCTAGGCAACGTATAATCAAGAACAGGATTTCAGGCCTATTTATCAATTTTGTGGTGTATAACTTTCGCATTTTAGTACGTAATATGAATTTTTAATCTTCAAATTGTCTTGAAATTTAAAAGAAAATTGTTCTTTAAAAATTCACTAAAAATCGGTAGCCAAAATTATTTGTTAAGGCATTATTTGATTTTCGTGTTAACCTGTAATTTCGTCAGTCGCCGGCACCGTTTGTTGCTTCACACAGAAAAATCACACGATACGAAAAGTAATGATCAATTTTGTCAACAATCTCACGCCATAACAGAGAAAGCTTTTGAACACCTGTAAACTCCAAACTCTTTGGAGTAAGTGATATTTTTAATGAATCTTCGGATTGTTTTCAAGTTCAAGGATTGTAAATTACAATTGTATGAAAAACGAAGGTTGTTCTCTTATTTCAGTGTGAATCCTCGCACGCCTGCCAGTCGCTGGCGCCGCTTGTGGAACGAAAACGAAAAAAAAAAAACTCTTTTAAGATTATCATGGGCTTCTTTTTCACCCCACCACTTTTCTTAGCAACAAAGGTTGCCATTTCGTTTTGTTTGTTACTCGCCAAAAACTATCAAATGCACTCAAAAGCCTAAAATCAAAAAAAGTTTACAGGAATCGACCAATCGAGCGAGTGAGCGAGTGCCATTCTCCACATCATATCTACAACTCGCTCTTACGCATGCGCTCAATTCACGAGTTAATAAAAGAACGAGATTTAGCTAAACTTCAAGTTCTCTTGAACATTAACTTTATGATGAAAACACTGGCGCTTGTCTCAGCCCTTGTCAATGTTCAACAAATTTTTTTTTTCCACAAACAGTTCACATCTGCTTCCAAAAACAAAATCGTAAAATGTTTCATGATGTATCACGAATAAATCATGCACACGAGCTCTAGAATATATTGTTGGCCATTTCGGTAATAGTCTTGGTTTTAAGGGCGTGATGAATGACTCTAAAGCTTAGTCATTAAAATCGGTTGCGCTCTCACAGAAAGGCACAATCTCTCTCCTCCTGACGGTTTTCAAGAAGTTATACGTGTTTACTTATCAGTAGCTGTTATAGTATTTAGCCAGAGACTGGCAAATTTGGTCATCAGGCTTTCAAATACTTTATTCTTATTCGCATAAATAAACCAGTTTTGGTTGACAGATATGTCAGCCTGCTTGTTTTGATAACACCAAGGAAAACAATATATGATTGTTGTAACTGCTTCCGTTGAAGCTAAGTGTTACCGCTTCCGAGAAAAGCTGCGAAGTATTTTTCAGTTAGGTTGACGCCCCCGAGATTAGTTCTTTTTAAACAGAAAATTACAGTTAGCGTTTCTGTTCAAGATAAGACCCCGTGTGATCAAGATCGTTTTTGAATAGAAGACAAGTTAGACTGTAATCCTCGATAAAGTAATCAAGACCCACGAGCGTTGGTAAGCAATAATTTGTTTTGTGATTATGTCATCTAGCTTGTAGTCGTTACTCAAAGCGAAACTTATCGCTCGTTTTTTACCTTTCTTTTGGTTCTTTTAATTGCCACGTGCTCGTTTCCAAAATCGAGGTTATTCTTATGATCACAATACTTAGGTGATTTCTTTACGTAATAATATCAGTTGACTGCTTCGATATAATAACGCCCCAAGGAATAGGAAAAGGAATAAAGAAAGAAAAGATCCTATTTGGTTTGGTGTTTATCGCATGCGCGTGTATCAACCCAAGAATCGAATTTCCAACTCTAGCTTGAAAAGAAACATTTACAATTATTGACACACTTTAGTTATTGTTGTGTATGTGCTGGTGTTTGGTAGCCAGCCAAGACCTTTCAAGTTTATTTATATTTCCTTCATTGACATTAATTTTACAAGATGTGGATAGGAAAATGATCCATTTTCCAATGATGCCTTTTCTGAAATGTTTGCATTATCACGATAAGTTGCGGTGTTAATCGCCCTATTGGAAGTTTATCAATTTATTATTTCTTAACTATTCATCGAGGTGGATTTAACTAATGGTGGATATTTACCAAGCTGCGAAGCGGAAATGTAAATATTCACCTCTGGCCACCGGCACTAGATGAACATTTGTTTTTGGATATAATTTAATACTATGAGATAAAATAATACAAAAAGATGATTTTTAATAATTTATTCCTACAACAATCACAACATTTTCGGGCGCAAATTCCGTGGAGGTGAATGGAGAAGGATGTGCGGAGTTACGTTTTAATGATTACTTTTGGGTTCTTTATATTCATTTTGATTGGATGGAAATATGTCAGATTTTCGGGAGATTCAAATAATGAAAATATTTAAATTTAATTTCGTGTGAAGAAATTTCAAAACCCTATCTAAACGATAAATACTTCCTAAAAAGCATATTGAACAGTCAAAAAGTAAATACCGAAAAAAAGGCAAAAACCAAAATTTTTGAGCTCGATATCAGAGTCCCCACCTATCTTTTGATCGACGATCGTGGTTTTATTTCACTTTCATTTAAAGGACACTCCCTGTCTCAGAAAAAAACCTGTTGTCTTAGCCCAGCCTTGAAGTGGGAAAGAAATCTGAAGTTTAGAATCATCCAATAATATTCAGTAAAACAAGATTGAGGGGCATATGAAAAGTCATTTACACAAATTCTGAATAAAACAAGTCATGGAATAACCGCTTGTGGCACTCTGGATTCAAAGACCAGAAGGTCAGGGACTCAGAATTTATGAGCACTACTTGTTTTCTATCAGATGGATTAATGATGAAGTAGGCCACGCGGGAATGCCCTCGTTTATTTTGTCAAAGGCCTTGCTTGTGTCAAGAAACACAACGACGGACAGTAAAAAAAATAACTGCCGTTGTCTATTTCTCTAAATTTTCAATTTTATTTCGCAGTACCTCTCACGATGAAGGTTGAAACAATAGGTTAGGCAATGTTAGCGTTATATGTAAGTGCTCGTGACAAAAACCAAAATTGAAAAATGACTGAATAAGAATCCATTATTATATTGGCTCGACTGCGTTTCTCGAAAACGCCATCTATTGCTTGATTAAACTCGACATATTTGCTGCCGTAGTGCACCAGAAAGGCACGGTTAGTATCAACAATATTCAAACACAATATCCCGAGTCGCCGAAATGTCTGAAAGTGTGGAGATAAAAAGTAAAAAACAATGCTTCCTTGGTACTTTGAATATCTCCCTTAAGCCAACTTCTGCTCTAAGAATCATCACAATGGGGTCATCTATGTTTCAAACTTCTAAAACACTTTTCTCAGACAATGATTAGAAGCAGTAACGTGAAATAACAATCAGCTTAATACCGTCCATCTAATCAACAAATTGGAGTAGAGAACTCGATTGAAAAGGTCGGTGAGTCAGTCGCTGTCTACAAAAAAGATAAAATGTATTGGTTCAGTAATGCTTTGAAAATATGCTACTTCTGGTTGCTAAGCGAGCGTAAGCTGGGGATAGAAAATACTTACACTAATCAGAACTAACGCAGTGCTACTGGATTTTCGTCAATCTTACTCTTTGAAGGAGCCTAAATGTCATTTTAGTTAATGGTGTCCTTCAAATTAGATCCAGACCAGCAATTTTTTCTGCAATGAATGGAGTAAACAAAACGAGTTTAGCTTATGTAAGTTTATTAAAGCATTTAAGGAGTGCTTTACAACAAATTAATTATTCTTAATTAGATTAAGAAATATTATTTATACTAGGAACAACACTCACAAATTTACGCAGCATTTCTTACTTGATCAGTTATAAAAATTATCTCAACAGCAATTTCTTTTATTTTTTTTGTTTTTTTTGTCTCTATCAGAGTACAGTCAATAATAACAACAAAGCACTGACAAGTGCACTAAGTGAATAAACGGTAAACTAAGAAATGCAAAAGTCAAGTAAACTAACAAATTTTTCTTTCAAGGAAATTCCACATAACCTCCATTCATAAACTAGGAAAATGGTTATCATCACTACCAAAGCATTACTAAAGTAAAAGTACGATAAAAACTACATCTTAAAATCAAATCTATGAAATATTGAGGCTGAAGTTCTCGAAATCTAAACTACAAATTACCACAGAGTGTTATAAGACTACAACCATGGAGGTTCAGCAATTTTGCTTTAAGCCTCAGTCCTACACAAGAAGAGTTGCTTCAGATGACTCCTCGTCTTCGTCATTTCCATTCTCTTCTGTATCCGCAGCAGTAAGTTGATTACCATCATACTCTTGTACGCCAGCCTCTCCGTCAAGAAGGTTTACAGCATCACTTTGGTCGTCCAAATAGTTTCTAAGATCGTCTTGTTCATCCTTCGTGTACTCTAATTGGCAATTCCTGGGTTCTTCTTCTACTACCTCCTTTTCAGATTTAACTGCTACAGCACCCTCATAACCAACGTTATTTTCATGTTCACTTATTACACCTTCTTCGTCATCGGTTTGAATTTCTGGAGGGAAGATAGAATCACTGAGGTCCTCTTTTTCGATCAGAGGATTGTATTCTAAAGAATCAATATCCTCTTCCTCGATTTCACAAGGGAATCGTGAGGCATCAGGCTTGTTCACCTCAATTGCGGAGCGTGCTAAAGAGTTAGGACCTTCTTTTTCAGTAACAGAAAGGCATCCTGTGGCCTCCAAATCTTCTTCCCCAGTTACAGAGAAGCATGCTGAGTTATTGGAATCTTCTTCTTCAACCACAAGGGGGCATGCTAAAGAATCAGAATTTTCTTTGTCAATCAAAGGGGGACATGCTGAGGCATCTAGACCGTTTTCGTCCATCACCAGGGAGGATGGTAAATGATCGATGTCTTCTTCCTTAATGGCAAGAGGGCACTCGGAGTCAACAATTTCTTCTTCCTCGTTCTCGCTAAGGGATGGTAAAGTATCACTCTCCAAAGGGTACGCTAAGGCATCCATATCTTTCTTATCACTCTCAAAAGGGTATGCTAGGCAACCTTCTTCTCCTGCTTTGATTCCGAGAGGGATAGCTGTAGCACCATCATCAATTCCAACCACAAAGGGATGTGCTGTAGCACCGTGCTTACCCACTTCATGGGCGAGATTTGTTGCAGCTGCCCCTTTGTCTTCTAAGTTAGTAGTTAAGGGGGAAGCTGTAGTACCATCGTCAATTGCAACCACAGCGTTCAGCTGATCCATCTCAACTTCGTCTTCCCCTTCACTGAATAATTGCAGATGAAAACAAGACTTTAACTATCTGTGTTACTTATCTATCTTTTCCTTCTTTGAACCTGGTTTAACGTAACGTGGTAAAGATATCCTCTATATATTCAGTTCAATTTTTTTTTCTTTTCATTTCATTTCCGAGTGCTTCAGAAAATTATCACTTGTGAAATTTGGATACCAATTTACAGAACCTGTTTTTTCGACGCATCGACCTAGAGAGGAGATTTTATTGAAAAAAAAAGATTGAATAAACCTCGCATGAAGACAACCTAGCGCTTACTGTGTTTCTCGGCATTTTACGTCATATAAAATATAGTGCCTCCTACGCGAGAAATGTAATACTAACCAAAACCATCGGAAGTATTGTTTGCAATCGATATATCGAGTGGTATTTTAAATTGGTCTACAAGACTCCGAGTGTATTTCAACTGTAGTTTCTGTAACAAAGAGTGACGAAGGGTCAAAGCTTTTCTTCTTTTTACAAACAAGGTGTCAAAACAAGTGAAGGACGGACGAATCCAAGACAGAAAGAATGTTAGGAAACATAGACTGCAATTTGATAGGAACGGCTTCGAAAACTGCCGTTGCTTCGAAAGGAAAAACCTTTTATTTTGGCCCATGTGCTGGTAAATTTAATCGGTCCAAACTGAAACAAAGACGTATTTGCTTAGCAATGGCGCTTATCACGACTCTACTGAGACTTATTCAAGAGTTAGAAACTTCGGAACTAACCACACGTTCAAACAGTGAGCATTAAAAAAGAGAAAATTCACTTACTTCAGCCAAGGTGGCACCTCAGGTGGGGCTATTATCAAAGGATATGTGGAAAGAGATGAAAGAAATCGCTTCGTTGTGAGAAAGAATGACATCACTAATTAAGTTAAAGCTTGCGACTCAGAAACCACGTGTAACTTATATTTGACTCTGTTGTCATACAACGGGAGAAGGAATTAGGTGGGTTATCACGGTGATGAGTTTCATATAATTTTAACGTTTTTGTAATTTGATTAGTAATGGGCTTTGCCTTGACTGTAAAGGGACCTTCAAAATCAGTGCTGGAAATGCAGAATATGACCTGCTTAAAATAGCTCCTTCGTGCTCCAAAACACTGACATATTAAAAGCCACAATCTGCCATATAAAGACATTTCATTTTCGTATGATAACATTTTACCTGTCGCACGGCGTTTTTTAATGTATGAAATGAACGCCAGTAGAAAAACGACAGCAGCCAAAGGTCCCCCAGTGTAGTACCAATCCAGTGAGCTGCTGGAGGGAAGTGAGCTGCTGGAGGGAGGTGAGCTGCTGGAGGGAGGTGAGCTGCTGGAGGGAGGTGAGCTGCTGGAGGGAGGTGAGCTGCTGGAGGGAGGTGAGCTGCTGGAGGGAGGTGAGCTGCTGGAGGGAGGTGAGCTGCTGGAGGGAGGTGAGCTGCTGGAGGGAGGTGAGCTGCTGGAGGGAGGTGAGCTGCTGGAGGGAGGTGAGCGGCTGGAAGGAGGTGAGCTGCCGAAGGGAGGTGAGCTACTGGAAGGAGGTGAGCTGCTGGAGGGAGGTGAGCTGCTGGAGGGAGTCTCTGAATTTATTGAAATATAATAATAGAAGAAGCTTAGTAGGAAAGTAATTTGCTGGTCGGCATCAAAAATAAAAATTAATATCATCAACTATCCAGATAGAGAGCTAATTTTTTGTTTTGTTCCAACAAAGGGGCAATTCGTTAGAATGCTATTGTCAAAACTTAAACTGTATTAGAAAAGCTCCAAAAAAAAACAAAACAAAAAAATATGGAAACGAAACGAGTCAAATGCGATCTTTAATAGGAATGCTTCGAACAGGTTGCATTAAATTAAAAAAAAAAGAAAGAAAAGAAAGAAAAGTGTCTCCTTGTGAGTTTCGTGAAGTTTGGAAAGAGTTTCAGAATAAGCTTGAAGCCCTTATGTTTTAAATTTCGTGGTTACTGTTTCAACCGCCCCAGATCCTCCGCTGAACTTCTAAACTAAGGTCTTTATAAAGTTCCGTCTTCTTTTGTTCTTTTTTCTGCACCCTTGTGTCAAAAGGACACAATAAGTGAGTCATGCAACACGAAGTTTCTTTCTTTTCCCGCACTGCGGTAGCGGGTGTGATTTCAAGTAGCTGATCGTCCATCTAAATTGTAAAGTACTACAACAACTTCATTAGGTGGTTTCCCATCACTTCCAGAGGAGAGTGGACTTACTACATTTTCTCGAGTGAACTCACAACATTTTCTTAAGCTGACACGGTTAAATTTCTATGGATAAATTGTGGATATCATAGACGGAACTAGAATCAAGAGCTCTTTTGACAATTCAATCGGTAGAGAATACTTCATCGAAAGTCTGTCCGTAAGGTATTTTACAAAAAACAAAAGGTACTTTATTGCCAAGCCTATTTTTAATCCAAGTTTATTTTGAAATTAGTTTTCTTCACTTTTGATAGAGGAAGGTATAAGTCCGTCCAATGTGACATCAAAACATTCTTTTACTTCGTTAAAAGGTTTCCTATCTTAGCCACAGCCCAGGAGGTCACAATTTAGTTCCCTATTCGTTAATTTCTTCGTCATTTTTTACTAGTTTTTAGGTGTAATATCAACACCCCGTGCCATGCACCATGTTCAAAGAGTACCAGTTTCTCCAAGGTCAAACTACACATTTACTTTGAAGAGTAGCTAAACAATAATAGTCAAAAGGTTTGCATTCCATGAAACTTACTTACTTACTACCCATCATGCCTGTGTGGCACATAAGGCAGCAACGAAATCCTTCCAACCCTGTCTATCTTTAGTCAGTGTTTCAATGGTGCTCCAGCTGTAATTGAGCCCCCTTAGTCTCTTCTCTACTGTCCTGCGGCGCAGGATTCCATGAAAACATTACGTTAAATCTGTCATTTTATACACTCAGATTGTCCGCTGTAGCAAGAGTACAAGTTCATAACGACGTAACGGCGGGGTTATTTTCATGCATTTCTTTGCAGTTTTGGTCGCTGATTTTTCAAATTTCAATTCGATGAAAAGTTTACATGGATGTTTCTACAAAATTGCTTTCCAACTTCAAGACTAAATACTTAGATAACAATGCACTGATAGCCGCTTGGACATTTTTGCATTTCTAAAAATGTACATGAAATCATGACTTGTCAGTCATTGGTATTTTAGAAGCAGAAAAAAAGGTAATCAAAAAATTTAAACGGACTTATATGCCGTGACAAAATATGATGATATCTATAAAGTCAAAATTGCTCGACGCTCCAAAAAGCAATCAGTTTAAACTGCACAAAAATTAATTACATGTGTCTGATCACGAAATTCATTTACATTTGATATACAAGTTGGCATGCTCTCGCTCTTTAAATGTTATCATCAATTTAGTACTTTTTTATTATTTTTAATCAGTTTTGAACTTTGTGGTTTCAAGTCCTTAAATCTGATTTGGTACCAGAGAATCGATTTTTTTTCTCATCTAACTAAAGATTTAAATTGATCCGCGACTTCAGCTCTTTCTATTTATAAATGAAGACCGTACCTTCTGCCACTTCGATCCAGAAAGTTAAGTCTTTGCTCCCCTCGCTATTTTCGGCGCTGCATGTGTATTTGCCAGAGTCTTCCAATCGCGCTTGACGAATCGTGAGAGTGTTGTTGTTAGTGAGATTCACCCCATCCTTAGCCCAGAGTATCTCAGGTGTAGGGAAACCGCTTAAAGAGCAATTGAACTGAAGCGATGAATTATATGTAACCGACTGATTCTTGAGCTCAGGATTAATTCCAGGAGGACCTGGGCATAGAATTAACAAGAAGAATTCAAAAAAGGCAAAAGTACGAAGAAAAAGACATCAGAAAATGAGAAGAGCAACATAAGGAAACAAAAGTAAGTCAACATTTACCTGTGACTGTCATATGAAAAGCTGATTCATTTTTCCCTTCACTTTTTTTAGCACTGCATGTTATTGACCAGGATTTCCATAACTCACTTGATTAATCGTGAGAATGTTGTTGTTACCAAGATTCAACCCATCCTTAGTCCAGAGTATCTCAGGTGTAGGGAAACCGCTTAAAGAGCATTTAAACTAAGGCGATGATTTAGAGGTAACCGAGTGACTTTGAGCTAAGGGTTAATTTAAATTTAAATTGGCCACCGTAAAGATTTTCTCAGCTGACGTTTCGACCGTTAGCCCTTCGTCAGAGCTAACACTCGAGACATCACCTTGGGAACTACTTGCGGTGGCCAATCTATATTACTAACTCGGTTGGTAAAAAAAAAGTGTATTTAAAAAGAGTTTGGAAGTTACTAAAAGGAAAGTTGGGGGATATCTGTGCGGTAATCTCTTTTTCGACCAAAAGATGAGTCCTTTACTCTCTCCTCATTCATAAAACCACTTACATTTACAAGGCCGTGATTCCCAAGTTCTTGAGCAGTTAAATTCTAGAAGTAAGGTTATCCAGATAATCTTTTAAAAGTAATAAACGGTTGGAGATTAAGTCATCTTATTTCTATTAAAGAAAACATCCCTTGAAAATAACTGCTGAAGATTCCTTCCTAACTATCATTTAAATCTATACATAAGAGTTTATCCATTTGAATAAAAGTTTGTAAATGCTGTATACTTTTTTGAAGTTGTAAAACAATAGCGATTGCACTTTTTAATCACAAATTCACCAAAACTCCCTCTTGTTACTTACCGACTCTTTGCCGGTACTGACCGCACTCTTTGCAGTCGCCATTCCAAGACGACCACGCCATACAACCTTTAAAAAAAAACAAGTTGTGCGAAAAGTGTCATATGTCATATTATCATTCTACCTATGCTCTTTACTTCCTTTGCTGCATTAATCTGCATCTTGTCATAAAGGATACCAAAATACGTAATATCGTCTATATCCCCAATTTATAATTTCCGAGGAGACTTCAAGCTAACATCTCTAAGTCAAAAAGATTGATGGCTTTGAAGCTTATAAATCACCCGACTTACAGTTCCCTATTTATAGGCATCATTGGTGTTCTCTTAACATCTGTCAGGGATTTATCATGTTATAAGCCGGAGAGAGTGACACTGTTTCTTATTGCTCAAATGGATGACTGTGCAAAAATGTTAAAAGAAACAAACTAGGATTTTAACGTTTTCAATTTTTCAATTTTCAACTTTACTGTACAAGTTCCACCAGTATATGGCAGAAGCCTGAAACGTTGAAATTCAATTGTTGTAACAATTAAAAGTTGTATTTCTGTGTAACATCTTTATCCACACATCCACTGATCCACAGAGAAGAGTATCCTATCTGTATCACTCTATTGAGATCCATTCGTTTGTTCAACCATCTTTATCGACCCTTTATCCTGCCTACTGATACATGACAGTTCAAGCATGGCTACTTACAATCTGTTATATTCGTTAGGACGAGGATGTTAGGTGAATATGAAAAGAAAGATTCACATTTGGTGAGTAAATAAGTGGCTTAATATAGCCTTGGAATACTTGACTACACATATCATAAGCTTAGCAAACAAACTGAACTCGTCGTACTCACCCGCTTATGAATCCGGAAAGAACGCCGTGAAAGAGAAAACAATTTTGAAAAGATGTTAATCCATTTATCTATTCATTTGTTTATTTGAACCAACCAGTTTGTTCGGTATGTCAATATTGTACATATGTCACAGAATTTTTTTAAATCAAACAAACAATCGGCCAAATATGACTAATGTCTGATGATAATTTTACAAATGTCGTTTATTGCAGAACTCGGGTATTGATTTTATACTAATGCTGTCCACATCAGTAAAATCGTTTGGATAGTAATATTATAACATTAACAGCTATCACTAATTATAAAATGATTCAAATAGTACGCGCGCTCTGATTGGCCATAAAACCATTTTACATGAGCGTATGTAAACACGGTTTTCGTTCCTCTTTCAATAGTTATTTTATAAAAGAAATATAAAATGGTTTCCGTGTTTACATAGCCTGATGTAAACACGCGGGAGGTTGGGAGAACACTCGATAAGCTGGAAAACAATCCGCTTCGCTTCGTGGTTTTCTACGCTTATCTCGTGTTCTCCCAACCTCCCGCGTGTTTACATCAGGCTATGTAAACACGGAAACCATTTTACATTTCTTCACTGTCATTGATACACACGCAGATATTTCTTTACTATTTACGATTTCAATTTGCTGATCAGCAATCAGCCGGCGCAGAGTGTCAATAATGTGTATTAAGCCAAAGGAGAGTTATTTATTTTTAGGAACGGATGATATTGATAGTTACCTTCCCTTTTGGCTAGACAGAAAAGATGAGATAAGAAAGGAGGAGCAGTTAATGATCTAAATAGCATAGCTTATAATTAAGTTATGAAATAACAATTCATCATAAAATTCTAACCCGCTTTTATGAAAGGAATAAGGTTCCAGTACTTTCTCAATACATGGAAAGCGAGCATTTCCCATAAAAGGATGTGATGTTGGAAAAAGATTCTCCAGAAACTTAAGAGAAAATCGTCAAGGATGGTTGCATATCTCGTTCACGCCGGTTTCGTGTTGAGAGTTTGACTGATTTTATGCGTGCAGCCCTTGAATTACTTATGGTTAACTTTGTCTTACTTCTGTTCTGCGTTTATCAGGCCTTATGATGATCCTAAGGTAGACACCGTAAACGTTTTTGTTTGCGGTCTTCGACGAAATTCAGTTGCTATCAGGAAGTAGAGAGTTAGCATTGCTGAATCGAATGTTCCTCGTCAGCTGTCACCAGCAGATCAGAGGATGAGGGGCCAGTTATGGAAATCTTCACCGATAAAAATATATCGAAAGCACCCTTTGAGCTCAAAATTCGAAATAAAGCGTAATAATGAACTTAACATACACTGACGGATGTCAGTGTAAATTTCTGTGATTGAAACTGTCAATGAGGGTGTCAGAAGTAATTCAGGGTAACATCAGAGTTTTGCTACGCCAGTCGTGCACAACAGCTTCTCAGGCAATTTGATTTCACATAATCACGTGCATTTTCCAGCACTGGGTGCCGGCTTCATTGAGTTTTCGTTATTCTGAATTCCCCGTGATGATAACCTGGCTTTGCTTTTACAACACTGAATCGACATGCACTCCAGAAAGAATAAACAATTCATTCGTGGTCC